AGCAGCTTATTACCATCTGGAGGTTCCTGGGATGTCAAGGGAGGGGAAGAGCGGAGTTGGTCCACATTTGCCTTGAAAACAGGACTACAGAGAGGGTAACACACACACAGCCATGCACACACACACGGGATATCGTCAAAAACAGGCTGAGGTCAAAGTGTGTCCACATGAGATTGTTGATTTGACGACAGGAAGTGTGCTGCTACCTAACTCGGGTGGGTGGAGGTGTCCTCTCCACTTGCTGACTGCTGGACTTACCGGACCGCTCTGCAGACACACAGTATGAAAGGTTATTCTGGACCAAGATGGCGCAAAATTCTTACTTTCAGTGCGAGCAGAGCGGTTAAAAGCTCAACATTGGATAAAGAGGGGCATTTTGAAATCAGGAATCCTGAATCTGCTCTGAAACGGCAAAGTACTGACCTGAAATTGAGCTCAGTGCATCAGTGCCTGGGAAGTGTGGGTTTGGTTACCTGAGAGCTGGTGGAGCAGAGTGGACGCCAGGTTCACCGACATGTCCTGCCACAGCACTGCTCTGAGGCACTGGTCGGCCATCTTGGCTCCAGAGGGGAACGTGTCCGGCATCTTGGCCCCGAAGAAGAGAGGCTCCTCCATCTTTGTCCCGGAATGAACCTGAGTCGCCATCTTGACTCCGGAGACGAGCTGCTCCTCCATCGTGAGCCCTGAGGAAAAGCAGTCCTCGAACTTGATTCCAGGGAGAAAACTGTTGCTCGCCTTAGCCCCGGAGAAGAGCCTCTCTGCAGCCTTTCCTTTCATGGGAAGCTGGTCCTTGGCTCCAGGCGGGAGGCGGTCGCCAACCTTGACACCAGAGACTCCACGGTCCTCCATTTTCACCCGATACTGACACTTGTTAGCTCCAGAGACTGCACTGACTGTTGCTTTAGAGGCGGGCTGGCAGCTTCCAACACAAAATCTGTCCTCCGCTTTGACCCCAAGCAGACAGCGGTCTGCCATCTTGGCTCCGGGGTGGAGCTGGTCAACCACATTGTTCCCAGACAGACCCCGCTCCTCTGTTTTAATGGCAAAGAGATGGTGGCTCCCCATGCCTGCGATTGGTCGGTTCTGGGCCACAGTGTCCACTTCTATTAGCTCCTCTTCCTCTTTGAGCCTCAACATGTGGCCGTTCACCTCCTGTCGCTCTGTAAAAGTTTGGTTTGCGTCAGCCGTTTGCGGGTTAATCAAACAGACAGACGGCCTTCACGCGTCTGTACCTGCTAGTTTCCTGAGCATGTCCGAAGCCAGCGTGTCGGTGGATGTGTTGTCGTCGGGCGTGTGCGTGAGGGAGGGCGGCTCGGGGCTCGCCCCCGGTCCGTCAGGTGAGAGCGCGACGCCCGGTTCGTCCTGCTGGTCGTCCTCCTCCCGGCTCCCAGAATGCAGCTGGGCTTTCTGTGTAGCTTCTGAACGAGAGAAAGAGGGAAAGCACCCCGGACAAGGAAATAGTCAGTTCCTTAAAAAGGCCAAATGTTAACTTCTGTGTTAATGTAAATGATCTAAACACCCAGTGCTTTTCAAGTTAAAGCCTTTCAGATTCAATATCTATTTTCATTCCTTAAATCCGACTTTCTGTCTAATAACCGACCTTTCAAGCTTTGCTCTGACCAGCAGGAACTTTTGACTGCAGCTACTGAAACGTAATGATGATGATAAGGATACCGGGGTTTGACTGTCAGAAAAAGCAAACTTTAAGGTTACGAAATAGCTGAACTTTGATACTTTTTAAAATCGGGCACATTTTCAAATAACACTGAAAACTGACTTAATTCTCAGCTTTCAACAAATGAGTTTGAAGGAAAAAAAACATCACTTTTCTGTAGGGAGCTTTAAAAATAATTAAATGGATGGCTTAGCATAATGAGCTCTCTCTCTTGTGTATTAAGGAATGTTCTTTTATACAGCACTGGGCCACATTTAAAATGGCACTCATCTTGTGCGTCTATGATGTTGTTGGGCACTTCACACCCAACAGCACTTACAGACAAAGACCTGGTTCACCCTCGTTAGAAATGTACGAATACTAGAGGCTGACAAGCAGCCTCAAAGCATGACAAGAGTCTCTACTGGATGTGGACACTGTTTATATCCTTTTCCTGATGATCTGAACCGAAAGAATTCGCATGTAGAGACCTGGTTCCATTGATTTTCACCACAGCTCTTGTGTCATGTGGAAAATCTCTGCCATTTTTTTTCTCCCCCCGCTTCCCTTCCTTAAGAATGGCTTCTTGACAGCCACCGCTCCATGGAGGGATAGAGGGAGATGCTCAGTCATCTGGGAGGGGCTGAGGGGCTTAGAGCAGAGCTGCCGCTCGTTCACTCTGAAAGGAGTCAGTGGAGGTGGTTTGGGAATCTGGTCGGGATGTGTTCCAGACGCCTCCCAGCAGAGGTGTTTTAGACACGTCCCACTAGACAGAGGGGCTCAGGCAGACACTGGGCCCAATGAGGAGATTAAATCTTCGGAGTCCCTTTGGAATAGCTGGAGGCGAGGAAGTGTCTGAAGTCTGAGGACCCCTGTCCCAGAGGTTTTCAGAGAATCACCTTATTAGAGCAAATCTGTCCATCTGTCTCTTATTTGTTACTTTTGGTGCTTTTTAATTGGTTGAATGACATAAATAGGATGACCAAATGTGCCTTAGTGGCTAAAAAAGCCTAAACATACACCTGCTTCTTTTGATAAGCTGTCAGTTAAGTGTAGGAAAATACGAGTTCATCCCTGTAGTTCAGTGCCTTTAGTTACATTCAAATGACTCAAATATAATTGCTAAATATGCCTCCTCACATTGGAAAGTTAAAGACCAAGACACGGGATACGTGTCTGGAATTGCTGTCTGGAATTGGGATGCTGAGGCGACAACCTAGGATTTTAATCATGATTTAAATGAGAAAGTCACAAATAGCTTGTGTCACCACTTAAGTCTGAGGTGTTGTGGATATAATGAGGGGGAAAATTGCCATGCAAAGTGAGCCAAATGTGTGTGTGAGTGTGTGTGTGTGTGGTACCTGACAGCCTGATGAGGAGGTCAGACGCCATCTTGGTGCTGACATCAGGGCTGAAGAGAGAGGTGGCTCCCGGGAAAGGACTTGAACCCGTGGCGTGCGTGTCCGGCGTGTGTTCGGCGTGCGCGCCAGACACACCGAGCGAGCGAGCATCATCGCTGGTGTGCGCCTTTCCGTGTGTGCTTGCAGGGAGTGTGTGGCGCTTGGCTGCATCAGAGGGAGGCTGCAACACACTCGACCCACGCTTCATTTTCCAGGGTGTTTGTTTGTGTGTGTGTGTGTGTGTGTGTGTTTGGGGGAAGAAAAAGACAGAAAGAAAAGAGTCCAAACTCAGAAAGAGAGGAGGGCAAGAGAGAAGAAAGAGGAGGAAGAGGAGGAGGAGGAGGAAGGCAGCGTTGCTAAAATAAGACGAGTGTGTTTTCTAACATATGGAAGTGAGGAGAGCATGGTGGAGGGATGAGGGATATTGCAGAGGGAGGATTTGCTTTTCACGCCGAGCTGTTGCTGGCTCCCTGTGACCTGAAAGACAGAGAAAGGGATGGATGGAGGGGATGGAGGGGAAGGAGGTGAACCGGGGGAGAGGAGGGGAAGAAGAGGGCTTGAGAGAGGGGGATAGGAGAGGAACAGAACAGCAAGGTTGAAGGGTGGGAAAGGACATGGGAGAGAAAGAGAAAGGGAGGAGGAGGAGAAGAGGAACATGAACAAAGTGAATCTGTGAATGAATAAATTATTGAATGGATAGGGCCTAATAATAAGTTGATAAATCACTCCTGTTATCGCCATGGTAACAAACTGGGCTGTGTCATCCCCTGCCCTGACCTTCCGCACGACAAACAATAATCAATTATGATCAATAATTGTCAATAAGCACTTCAACCTGCCGGCATCTGCTAGTCTGATCTCTTCATGCCCTCCCATCCTGTCCCCGTATCTCTGGACATCTCTAGAGTTACATAGACGTGACACATACATCTGATGTGTGTGTGTGTGTGTGTGTGTGTGTATGTGTGTGTGTGTGTGTGTCTGAGTGTGTGTGTGTATGGGGAGGGGTCTGGAGGGGCCCGGGGGGGGGGGGGGGGGCTCTACTTGAGAAGAGGTATCATATCCTGCCTTTATATAACAACATGAACTGATTCCTGTTGAGATGACACCTTAAAACGGATAACATGCTTTTACATTGTTTCAAGAGGACACTGAAACAACATGAGGGGAAACACCAACCAAAGAAATAGAGAGAAAAAAGCCTCATATGCTGAAGGGTAAATAAGATATTCCGGATATATAAGAGCAATGTTCAAACCTCCAACAGGAGAATATATAATTAAGAGATGCACAACAAAAAAAAAAAACAAACAAGAAAAAAAAATTAGGGAAAAAAATGGAATCAACGGGTGTTTGACGCCTTGTTCCACTCGCTGCCCTCGACCCCGTTTCATTCCGCCTCCCGCCCCTGTCTCCAGGCGACACTGAGCGGGCTCCAGCCGCTGCATCCGGCAGGGGAGACAGAATTCACCGGGTACCAGCTCCTCCACAGCGTCTCCCCCGCCGCCCCCCCCCCCCCCCACCTCCTCCCTCCTTCCCTCCCTCCCTCCCTCCCCTCCCTGTGCTCTGCTCTCCCGCAACATGGCTGAACGATAACCCGACCTCACGAGACCTCAAAAGTCAATTTTCACGGGTCAGTTAGCATCATTACCGGGCCGGGGTTGCCACTAATCCGCCGCCGCGGGACGGGGCGGTAGTCTGCCGGCTCACGTTCGCTCCGTGACTTACCGGTACCAGCGGGGCAGGTGGCGGCGGCGGTGGTGGTGGTGGTGGTGGTGGTGCAGTCCGGGGCATAGCCTATATATAGACTATAGATCTCTCCCTTGTAAAAACAAAAAACAAAAGAAAAATCCTCTTTATGTCTCAACACCAGCCCTCCACGATTTCCTCTCTTGTTCTCGCATCCACCGCGCGAAACTCCAACAGAAAATTGCACCAGCGAGGAGATGATCCTTCTCTTCCCCGAGCCCGAGGATGACGGGTCGGTCACCGAGCAGGGCAGATGGAGGTTTCCGCCTCCTCTCTTTCCTCTGGTGTGTGTGAGAGTGTGTGTTTGTGTGCGAGAGGGAGATGCAGTGTGCCTTTGGACGGCACAAAAAAAATTTTTTTTACTCAGATTTACATTTTGGTCCAAGGTTCAGAGATCACCCTCTGTACAAGCAGAAAGCATGAAAAGATGAGTTCTAGTTTTTAAAAGACTGATTTAAGAATATATAATATAATGGAAATCTGCTTCACCCATACTCTGTTGACTAACAATACTTTTTGGATGAGTGTCAACCAGAAACTAGGGATTGCTACAGACTGTAGAAGATTTTGGAAAAAACCTCAACAACAAAAACCTAAATCGAATTGTTTGTGCTCCTAACAGAATTAGCCTACTTGTTGCAAATGTACAACCATCAGGCTCTACTTTTTTTTTTTAGTAGAAAAAGCAATAGTATTTAAGGTAAAGTATAAGTATCAAAATAAGTGTAGTTAAAGCTGACAGCTGCTCTAACTGTGGTACAGCTACATGGCAGTTCCTTGAATAATTCAATAATTTTTAGGAAAACAAACAGAAAGAAGGCGAGTAGAGGCAGAAAAGGGGCACGCACGGAGGACAAAAGTTAAGTAGAACAGCTTCTATAACCTCGAGACCTCAAAGTGCCCCTGAACTGACTAAAAGGGTGGTTGGTGTTACATAGATGGAAAATATGAAGGGAAACCTGTTTCAGCCTAATCTGTAGCGCAGAAGTTAAGTTTAGGACAGTGATTCACGACGCCGAGCCTGCTGCTAAAGCAACACTTGGTCATTGACAGGGGGAATTATATGGGTATGTATAGAGGATGGATGGATGGATGGATGGATGGATGGATGGATGGATGGATG